ATTTGTTGTAAGATTCTTATGAATACTATAAGTGTAGCTACCAGTTTTGGCTGCCAATTTTGATTTCATTCCTTTAAGTTGCACATTCACTTCTTTTTTTGACTGCACCTTTTTCTCACACTTAAGGTGTTTTTTATTAGATATCATGACTTTTTGTAAATACACACCAACAAATCACAGCAAGTAAGAAAGTGACCCTAGATAGTAACCAACATTAGCTTTAGGATTGCAACCCTATTATTTGCAACAAAACTATACTTTACAGAGTCAACCAGTTTCTTTAGAATATATGGTGGTAGTTTTTGTTACCGTAATACAAACATACACATTTCAAGTTAGGCACTTAAAGATTCTTACTAAGAGAAAGTGTTTGTTTCAGATTTCAAGTATAGGTGTTACGAAGCAGATCAACAACCAAATTGACTGTCATATTAAACATGAATGAAGAAGAAGGTGGAGAATCAGCCACAAATGTTGAAGTTGTTACTCCACATCAGATTCAAGGTTTGTGAAATTCCACCATGCTTATTGAATGTTTTCTAATACATGACACAATATTAGTTATGTATATTTTTGGATACAATTAAGATATTCATTGTATGTTTATTTCTTCTTTTTTCTCTTTCTCCTAATGTCTTTTGTTTATATTTTTGAGGTACCTTTTGGAAATATTTGTATGTTTGCAATAAATTTGTTAGGCTCATGGCTACTTTTACATCATAAGAACTTGTAAACAACATTTTGGTAAAATAGGTTCCTCAAACTTCAGTCCATAACTCCTTTTTGAGAGGGTGAGAATTTTCTACTTTGCAGCTAAAATAAAAAAAGGATAAATACTGTTTTAAGAATAATAAATAGTACAGTAATACAGTTCTACATATGCAATTTATTTTTAAATTATTCCATCACTTCAAAACCACCAATCACAAAACTTGAAGAATACTAAGTGGTTTGCATGTCAGGACTGTGAATCTGAAGAATCATTGTTCATGTGAATCAATGTACTCTGTGTGAGCATAGGTGTGCTATAAAAATGATGGTCAAATCCCATTTTTCAGTCAGATGAGTAGTCGCAATATTTGGCATTGGGTGTTGTTGACCGCTATGTGGACATAGTCTTTGTGTAGCTATGTGCAAAAATCTGAAATGAAGTAGTAAAGGAAAAAAAGTAAATGTTTTCCATATAGCACAACCAAACAATTAAGAAGTGTAATAGATAAACCAATTCAGTTTTAATACATTTATATTTGTAGTCAGAAATTTGTTTTATCAACTCCTTTAAAGTCATAAGAATCATTGAACTTTCCCACATTCTTGATCCTTGTAAAAAAAAAAAAAAAATCATTTATTTTCATCATTATAGTGTGCATTCTGTTTTTATATGAGGTGTCAAAGGTGATTTTAATAATTTGTTTGTAGTAGCAGTTTCCAAGTTTTTGTTATTTCAATTTGATGTCTAGGTAGTGTTGAAGGCTGGAATTTGAAGATGACAGAGTCTGGAGAGGTTTATTTCATTACAGAAGAAGGAGAAGCTGGAGAAATTAGAGTGTCACCTAATAGTATACCAGCTGATGGTTCGGTACAGTACTTGGCAGTAAATGATTCTTCAGTTGACTTGAACAATGCTTCAGGGAATGAAAACATTGTTATCTATTCTTCGGCAGTGGATCATTCTGTAGATATGACAAAAAATGGTGTCACTGGTCAAATTGTGCTTAACAAGTACCAAGAAACATTCCATAATGAAGATAGTGTGGCTGGCATATCTTCTGTTTTACCCGAAAATACTTTAGACGGTGAAGATCAGTTAGCTAAAACAAATGCAACCCAACTCAGCAAAAATGCTCAACAGATATCTTACACCAGCCCTGAAGAAGCTCTCTATACTGTTTCTTCTGACAGATTATCAGAAACCAGTACAGTTAAGAGCACAACTAAACCCTATGCTAGTGAAGATATTGTACTCCACCCTGACAGCTCTTGTGGGGTAACAGAGGATTCTGTACCTGCTCAAGTAAACACTCTCCACCTCCCAGAAACCATTTTAAAAACAACAGAGAAAGGTGGGCAATATTTTGGAACAAAATACCTTGTTCTACAACAACCAGATGGCTCCCAGCAACAATTGTTACTCTTGGAAGAACGTGAAGTAGACCAGACATATAATGATGGTAATGTGAGTATAACTGGAAGTGAACATTCAAAAAATGACCTAGATTTCTTAACTACTGAACATGTGACATCATCCATGGCTCCAGATGCAGCTTCGTCACCAACTAGAGCTGTTAGCAGTTTTAAAAGTGACAGCAAAACAAACAGATTTCTTAAACTTGACCCATCACAACTTCAGATCAAAAGAAGTGATATAATTAAAAGCTCTTCACTGAAGAAAGAAGAAATTTTAAAGATGTTCATGGGCAGTAAAACTAACCGGAAGAAAAAGTCTGTCAGTTCAAAACTTCCTACAAAACCTAATATGACTGAACCTGTTGTTATAAAGGTACGTTAGAACATACTTGTGTGTGTTTTATTTGCTCATAAAAATAATCTCAACAGCACTTTTTTCTCTTCATTTGTACCATTAAATCTACTTTTACTTTTTTTTCTTTTTAATCGTAAAATACAAGACAGGTTGTACAGCTTTTAAAAATTGTATTTTTTAAATACTTGTCTTCTAAAAATCTGCATTTTGAAGCCTAACATCAACTTTTCTTTTACATATTGTATCAAAATATTTTTTTTTAATGATGTAACAATTTAACTCCTTGTGCACAGTATTGGTCCATTGAACTGACCTCACTTCTGTAAAGCTATACATATTAATGTTTATTATAATTCTCAATTTACAATAGTTATTTTCATAAAATTTAGCAAGCCTTTAGTATACATTACAAATATGTTGTATAGGAAAAATCAAATATTTTAATAAGGTATTTTTGTTAAAGATTTGTTTCTGAATTTATGAAGCCTTTACTGAGTCAGTGTAACACAGACTCTGACTAGTTTGAGTTTCAGATTTCATTTGCATAATCTCTAGAACATCCTAAATGAACATAATTTTTTTAAACCTTTATATTTTATCTTTTATTTTTTCTACCCTGACAGTAACTGTAACAAATTTAAAAGAAAGTGAAATAAAAATACCTTTTTTTTTCTTTTTTTGGATGATTAATTTTGCTTGTTTGCTGATCTTTTTATTTTCACAGTTTGAATTGTTAACCTTTTCACATGTTTTTGTTAATTTTATTCTTTTATTGCTGTACTTTATACCATTGATATAGTAATTCTCCCATACAAAGCTATAAGTCACAGCAGTAGCTCATTATTCAGATATCGTATACATCATGAGAAAATCTGATGATTGTGTTGAGTGCAAACCATAACTGCACTAGGCCTAATTTTTTTCACTAAGTTAGTTCTTCAAATAATGATTCACCTAGCATTCTGGCCATTTGTTCTTCATCTCTCACTTCTACCTGTCACTGCCTTCCGCTGGGTCTGAACTTGTTATAAGGCTCACCCACCTGGTCAGCCTTTCCCTTGAGATCTGGCCTTGACTAGTGACCTTCTTTGTTGTTTTCTCTTGGTGGTATCCTCTGGCTGGCTTACCTTTGGTTCTCTCTTCTATGCCACCTGACAACCCAACCCTCTTCCCTTGCCAATTATACATCCTATTGCTTCATGTGGGTTTTGTCTGATCCGTCACTCTTGAACCAGTCTGGTAACCCTTCCCTCCTTGGTGTCATTCTGTCTGATTGGGAGCTTTGCTTTCAATGTTGGTCCATCAGTCCCCACTTCCTCTTATTAGTTCTATAGTCAGACATCTCCCTTCCCTTTTCCAGGGTTCAGCTATCTCTTCTTTGCCGGTTATTGGGTGGCCTTGTCCACCCCTACTTGCAGGCTCGTTATTGCAAAGTGTTTCTTCCCATGTTCTCTCTCCACCTTGTTCCAGTCCTTCCTTATCCATGGACTGTCTTGCACCTCCTGTGCTTGACTGGGACCTCAGTACCATCCTGCACACTCTTCTACATGCTCATTCCTGCCATATGCAACCTTGAAGTTCTACTGCCTTCTTTTCTGACATATTCCTCTTTCTTCTTCCTTATGCTCACTGTTGTTCACATCATTTTGCTAGGGACTTATTTCATACCCTTTCCATCATTCTCGTATTCTTATTTTTCTGACCAGTCCTTTACCTCCTTCCGTTTTCTGCCACTTGGTGGGGTAACTTCTGCCATTCTCCCTCATCCTGTCCTTCTTTTACACTCATCTATGCTCTTAGAGGCCAGTACAGACTTTTCTGCCTAGTTTGTGCAGTTCGTTTCTACTTCACTCATACCTCTCTCTTCCTTCTGGGACACATCTTCTTATGCATTTATTGGTTTGGTCTCTTCTTCTTTTGTGGTTGTTGCTCATTGATGGTCCATATTTTGTTAAGTCAAATTTGTCTTCTCTCTCATTCTTTTGCTGCTTGTTTTAATCTGCTGCTGGACAAGTTTATTCCAGCTGACATTTGAACTATCTTGCATAACTTTGTTGCCCACTCCCTTCATCATCTGGCTGTATAGTCTCCCAGAGGTCACTGCCTGCCTCTGTTCACCATCCTGTGTTCTACTTGCTGTCTTTGGATGGATGTGAACATTCCCCTTTGTCTCTAGCATTGTTTTCAGGATCCTGCCAGGTGGTTGGTGTTGCCTCCCAAATTACACTTATTTCCAAAGTTCTGCATTGAGCCAGGATAACAAAAAGCACTCATAGCATCTGCCCTGGCTCTATTTATATACCCACTGTTGAGCTGAGGTGTTCTCATGGTATATTCAAATACTTGTCTACTGTGTGATCCAGATTGTATACCTCTTCCATGGACTATCATGGAAAATCCAACACCAGGGGGTGCTCTGCCTGCATCCCTGGCTCGTGCTTGCTGTCTTTTCAAAATAGGTTTATCTGATTACCCATTGTACTGTCTCCAGCAGGCAACTGATGGGGTCCAGGCATTTCTCTGGGTCTCTCCACTGTGGATTCCTCTCCCCCTTTCTTTGAGTGGAGCATGGGAGACCATTACCACTAACCAATTCCTGCTGGGGTGGTGGACCAGGGAAAACCCTCACTGACTGGGACAGAATAGCCAGGGGCTGAACAAAAGTTGCCAATTCAGTTGGAAGTGGGGTGATGGTGACACTGTCAGTGTAGTGTAGGTCACCCCTCATATACTTATACTTATAACATGCCAGCATCTCCCATCCTACTTCTGCCCATATGTTGGTTCCTGGGTGTTCTGGTGTTTGATTGGTGTCAGCCCAGCCAACACATGTCCCACATCCTACTGCCACCCAGATATCAGTTCCAGAATACTCTGGTATTGGATCAGTATAGGACCAGACAATATGAGACCCCCATCCTACCATCACCTGGATGCCAGTTCCTAGGTGGTCTGGTGTTGGATGGGTATTGGACCAATCTACTTAAGTCTTCAAACATGTGGTTGGTAGGGGTCCTCCTCTTTCTACCATAGACCAGAGGAAAAATTTCTGATGCCTCCTTGTTTTGGACTGGATTGGACAAATCAACTAATTGCAATCATCTCCTGTTCAATAGAGTTGAGGTGTGCACTTACTAACATATCTTACCTTCCTCCTGCAGGTATTGACAAAGACACCATGGCATATATTAAGTGCCCTTTTCCTGCAGCTGGTGTCGGTCAAATAAGTCTGGTAGAGTTGAGATGAACACTTGGTATGGTCTGAATGCACCCCAACCACATTACACATATTAGCACTCCAACCTCTTGTGTGCTAATCTATGGACAGCCATGTTCTTACTCTGCCCATACCCATGAAACGTGAGGCTTGCTTGCATCTTCCTCCCTTCCATTATGTATGAAGAGTGTACCCTGGAAGAAATGAGATGTGGTCTCTCAGGAGTGTGCCCCTATGGAACCTCTGCCATTGGGTGTCACTCCATGGGTTTCCTTCGGGCACTTTCTGAAGGGAGCTCATTTAGGTAACCTAATCACCAGTCCCACCACAACATTAATGTGGGATTTTAGCTCTCTGTGTGAAGTGGTGTGTATTGTCTTGGAAGTTAACATTTTTCTGACCTGAAAATGTATTTCTGATAGATATTTGCCTCTTCACATACTTCCCACTCTTCCTCCCTACTTCTAGTGCAACTTAGTATTTCTTACCTTGTTATAGAATAAAGATCATGAGTGCAAAAGCATAGATGTAGCTAGTACGCAAGGAGGCTGTATTGCCTTCTTTGTGGTGGAGGGCTTTTTCTGAATAATAATGTCATTATGCAGTAGTGCAAATCACAAGGAATCTCATGAGTTTAGGTGGGAGTTTCCTAAAGGCTAGTGGCATGCAAATCTCTAAGGCAGACATCCAGGGAAGATAGCTTTCTGTGTCAAGAGGTGAGTAACTATTGGAAATACATTTTCAGGTAAGGAAGATATTAACTTTTGAAATAATGGGAGATTTATACACTTATCACTTGACCTTTTGCAACACTACCATGTACACTTTTCCAGATGTTTTATTTCAGTTGGCCTGAAATTTGTGATAAAAATCATGTCACCTGCCCATTTTGTTGTTTTTCTCTAATTATTCTGGACAATTTAATATTGTTTTACATGTTCAAAAACATGTTTACAGCAGTGTTGGAGCCTTACTAAAACCAAGGGAAATGAATAATACTAACTTATTTATTAGGCAAATGGATACTTAACCAAAGTAAAAACTAGCATTTTGGATATTCTCTGAGTAGCTTAAATTTAAAGTCAAACAACATAAAAATTAGAATAATGTCACTTTATTTTATAAAACAAAAATTTTGATAATTATATCTTTGTCTTGCTACCTTTGAAAACCATTTGGGAATGAATAAGAAGAAAACTAGAAAATTTGTTTATGGTAAAGCTATAAACCTTTCCTAATTTTAAAGCACTGATTACCAAATAGTGGCATTGACTGTCACATTATAATGTCCTCACAGATGAGAGGGAATGTGCTTGGCAATGGGTTTCAATTCTGCAATCTGCAGATTAAGACTTGAGCACAATAATGACCAGGCCAAAACCATAGTGTATTCAGATAATTTAGTTGTATTACGTTAACAACAGCTTGACTTGTTCGTGCTAGCTGATTTATTCTTATGATGATGATGATGTTATATGTGTTAACTTTTTAAAAGTTAGCTGTATAACATGTAACCAAATTTTCAGTAGTTTGTCTGTGAAAGAAGGGAATTCAGTATAATAATCTAGTATTCTGAATTACTCTCTTATTTATATAGTCTGAAAGTAGCCTGAATAAAAGTCATACAAAATTAAAATTGTGCTAATATATTTGGTAATATATAAGTTTTAATTATTATAGCTATACATTAAGAAGTTTGAAACTCAATAGGAAATATGTAATAAGAAAACTCGGAGTCTAATCAGTTAACAGTTTTATTGTGGTTACATCACTGTTTAAATTCTCAGCTGAGGGAGTGGCTTAATGAAAGGCTTGAATCATCTCTATTGGTTATTTTGCCCCATATTATCAAATTCCTATGGATATATGCATCTAGAACCTTTGTTTAAGAGGATTCTTTGAGCAATGGAATATTTTTGATATTGCATTATTTAAAAAACATTTCGTAACTTGAATCTATGTTGGGTTTTTTTCTATTTTATCAAAATTTCCTTGGCATATAATGCAGACATCTTTAAAAATGTAACCTATGCAAGAATATAATATTCTTATAATACACAACACAGATATTTTCTACTTTTTATTTTTAAAGGGTGTCACACTGTGCTCTCATAAGTTAAATATAATTGTGATGTATCATACGGAAAGCATTGTGTAGTGTTGTAACAAATTATTTAAGCCATCAATGATAACAACTGAAAGAAATTTATTGTGTTGATTACATTGAGATCAGTCATAATAATTTCAGAAATGCTCTTCATAAAACCAAAGTGAAGAAAATTTATAAAAAAAATTCTGGACTTTTACATACATGTACGTATGTGTTTCATTGATACCATTTTTGTTGATTTATACAGTCTTTGCCTTCAAGTGGCTTAGTGGTAAGTTTGAAGGAACTAGGTGAGTATCCTGTGGGTTGCATACTGTCCTACTTATCCATATTTTGCTTTTCCCAGTTACAACATATTATAATTTTTTTTCCAATAGTCTTATTCCATTTGAATACTGATGAAGACCTTCCATGGTTACAGCTTTTGTCTTACTAGTGCAGAGGAGGTCAATATCCTGCAGAGGAGGTTGATATCCCACCAATACATTAGTGCATGATTTGATAAAGTGATTCACTCATGAACTTGTCAGCTTCTTTGTTCAGCTTACCTTTGCGTGGTTTGGCACATACATCTTGGTGATGGTCTTACCATGCAGTTTTTTTACTTTCTACTATCCATTTGGGGACCAACTACTCTGAATTTTGTGCAGTACTTTTTTGAGTCAGTCACAAATGTTATGTTGGTAACACTGTCTATTTGTTGTGTATTGCTTTCACCAATCCAGAAGAAAATTTATTTATAGCTTCCAGCTCCATCCTTGTGCTGTTTGTGGGAATCTTGAATGTGCCACAGCCTTATGCAGAATGTTGTTGCTTTGCAAGTGTGGTTATGTTTGCTCCAGTGTATAACATAAAATTTTGAAAATATAAATTTGAATGTTTGTTAAATACCATATTATTCTAAGTACTATTATCAACCTTTACTGTATTAAACAAGTGGAACCTTTCAGTTATTGAGTTGTTTTAACTGTGACAAACAACCCTGTTGTTTGATTAAAAGTAGCCATGGAAGTGGCAGGTGCTAATGACTGGTTGCCATGCCTCTCGTAAGAAACTCTAAGCTAGAAATGACCATGCCTGAACTGGAAGGTGTCTCTAACCAGACGTTTTAGGCCATGTGTTTCATAATGTATCATTTTGGTCGAAAATGGAATGATCCCTCAAGACTTATCGTTTTTGGAATATTGGTGGTCGGAATTGTGTTACTAAATTTTCTCTTGTTCTTTGCATTAATAATAAGATTTTAATCTTTTGGAATATTTATTCAATTTCAGAAAAATTGAGTTGAGATTATAAATGTATAATGTTCTAACAATTAATTTTTGATGTTTTTTATCTTCAAAGGAGGTGTTGGAAAGGTTAACATCATTAGAAAAAGAAGTTAAGCAAATTAATGCCAATTATCAACATATGAACACCCAGTATATTCAAATGAATAAACAACTTCAGAATTTGACAAAATTAATAAAGGAGGAAACTAACAAACCAAAGATGACAACCCCTAGCTCTTCATCCATAGGTCAGTTTAATAACAGGTATGTGTGGTCATTATGGTAGCTTTGTAACAAGTATTGTATGTTGATTGATTTGATATTAGATACTTTGGTCCAAAGTGATTTGGTTACCAGTTTACAGTATGGAATATAGTCTTCACACTTAGAGTATGTTATGGTGAAATTACTGATGTTCAATTCATTGATTACCTTACTCTCCAAAACCAAATTTAAATGAAAGATATATTCTTGACACATCATTTATGTAAAGATAAATGTAACTATGATTAGAGTACAATATGTATATGGTTCATAATCCAGAACTGGCATGTTAAAAGCTTTAGGTAAGCCAGTAGTGAGCAACAAATATTGATGAATGTGTTCTAGTGTTGTTTATTTCAACTAACTAAATTTGGATCTCATGTACTTGAGTAATCAGAATCACTGTAACTTTGAGAAGTACAAAATATGACCTACTTGTTACTTCCAGCCCAGAATTAGACTATGAAGACACTTACGTTTAAATTACTATTTAAATTACTGATGCAGCCAGCTTTCCCCTAATTACAATTTAACTTTCGTATTAGCCTCTTGTATGGCAGTCTATCAAAGCCTTTCCAAAAGCCAAGATAAATAATATCAACCAAGGTTCCTTTTGTCCAGAAATGCAGGCAGTTCTTAAAATTCCAATACAAATGGGTTGAGTAATAAAGTCCCTCTGAAACCATGCTATGTTTCATCTTAATGAGCTTGTAGATTCCTATGGATGTAGTGTTTTATTTGATCCATCATTTTTCAAAGTTTGGGTATGCAATTCATAATTGCAGTTACTTGAAAATTTTAGAAACTTATTAAAAATAATTTTAGATTATTCATCAATAAATAATTTTTTTCCCATTAGTTTTGTAACTCACGTGGATACTTATTTGCTAAAACAGTATAAATTATTGTTACGTGTCTGGTCGTTTGTTAATTTCCAGTATAAATTTTTTCCGAGAAACTTCAGCAATACAAGTCCTTTCTTAATTAAAACTAGTTTATTCTTTCTTGATACAACTTTGCAATATACAGAATTTCCACAGTCACTTTAAATTTAACAACCTTATAACACGCTATGAATCACACCGATTCACACATTTTACTTGCGGTGCCTACTGTTTGCTTGACTCAGTTATCTCTCTCTATATCTATCTATCTATGCAATTCTATGCTTGCTTTATTTGCCAGGCTTATTTACTTTATAATAATAATAATAATAAAAAAAAAAAAGGGCGCCTGGAACAAACTAAAGTTGCCAGGAAAATTCATGATCCTTCGAGAATCTCATCACGTGTTACCAGCATCACGTGACTTCCGCTGTCATAACAATATTGTCAGATTTTATTATTTTGAGATTAATACAGCAGAAAAGATATTTATTTACATACATTTAGAGTAATATCTGTTGCTTTCTTGTAACTCAAACTGAAGTATTTCAAGAGTCTGTGTTCCAGAATTTTATGTTTTCTTGTTCATTTTAAACAGTTTTGATATTCTAAGCTTAATATGTTTGTGTGTATATATTCAGTATGTGTTGTTTACACTTAAACTGTGACAGTTAACATTGATGAGAGAAAATTATCTGTGAATTTCAGGGTTACTGGTAAACCAACAATTGTGTCTTTAAGACCCTCAGTAGGCTCTCAGCCTCAGTCTTGTTCATCAATGACACCTTACTCACAAGCTCCCCCTTTTTCATTTGGTAAGTCCATTGACATGGTATAAATACTTAATGTTTAACCAAAAACGATATAATAACCAAGCTTTAGTTAGGCTACTTAGCTGATAAGAGCTATTCTGGAAGAGGGTCTGTGAGATTGAAGGAGGATATGAAATGTGAAAGTTACAATTAATTACTACAGCTCTAACTAGCGTAAACCATTTATAAATTTTTCTTCAGAATTGAATAGATATTTATAGAATCAAATTGTGAAGCTTACTCTTCCTCAGTGTCAAAGCTCTTATGAACAGTAGTGGTAAAATAATCAAATTTCTCTAACATTTTGAATTGGGTGATCACATGCATATAGTATAAAAAAATTAACAAAATCCAATGATCATAATGTACTTTTCAACCTTATAGTATTGGATGCATATTATTTCATGCTAAAGTTGTTAAAAATATGGAGATATACAATGTAAATAAAGATAATGAAAGAAATATTTATTAAACTAATTCTTTGTGATATTTACTTTTGTTTGCATTAAATTTGATTTCACCAGAAAAAATAAATTGTAGTAAGTAACATAAGTAATTAATAGTAACAAAGAAGAAAATTGTGATATATTTAATTAATAGTAACAAAGAAAATGAATATTAAGTAATATAAATAATCAATAGCAACAAAGTATGTGAGGAAGTCAAACATTTTAAATGCATTTAATTTTTAAAGTAGGTATGAGTATGGAATAATTCATTGTTTTAAAGATACATGCCAAATAGTTGCATGTAACTATCTTTGACTAAAGAGTAGATTTGTGACGAGGTACATTACTTTCACTCGCATACATAGCTATTTTTGTTCAGTGCTGCCCTCTGTTTGCAAAAAGTTTTCATCATGCCACAAGCCTTTCACTCCTACGTACCCCTTGGTACACGTGACTCATGTGACTCTCTTTATGCTATACTACCTAACTATCACTTCTCATTAGGCAGTGCTCATATTCAGATGCTTAGTTTGTGCTCTCTCTCTTTTCTTTTTTTTATATCTTCTTATCAATTTCTGTCAACAAGTTTAATATTTATTATACAATAGTGATATCCGTAACTTCTTTCGAGGTGGAATTATTTTATATTTCTACCCAGTTACTAATCTTAATACTTTTTATTTCTTTCTGCCAACATGGTTGTGTTTGGTTATTCATTTTCTAAATTCTATTTACCACTTTAGAGGTTATATCTTTTATCAGCTCATTTACAAAAGCTTCAGGTGGTGGTCCTCAGCAGGGTATTTTCGCCTTGACTTCATCAGGAGATTGATCATCCAATGAGCCTTGACTTGAGTTTGGGGGCCAATACATTTGAAATATGGTCTGCTGACTTTGGAAAAATAAGACATTATACTGTTATGGTTTTTAAATATTTTTTCTGTTAATATTATTATTATTATCTGTATTTATTTGGGTTCAATAACATTAGTTTAGTTACATTGGTCAATACTCATAGTCAAGTTCAGGTTAGAAGTTAGAGCCTAGTAGTATCCTTTGTTCTATAACATTAGATTAGGTTTAACACAAGTTTTTGCTATTTTAAGATTATCTGTAATTCAACTTACTGGTATATCATAAACTAGGTTAACTATATTGTTTTTTTTTGTTTTTTCCATACATCACATCTCATGCATACGTTATTGTCTGTATACTCTTACTTAATTTTACAATATAACATCTATTTAATTTTTGTTATTATTTATCTTTTATACTTCTTCATATTAACTTTTGCTTGTGTGGACCCCTGGAGATGGGGTCTGCACAAACTTCTCCCGATATTGTACGTACCTATCATTAGGTTAGGATTCTTTAAATTTCAGCTTAGTGATATACTTTGTCCTGCTCCGTTTCGATTAGGCTTAACAAGTATCTGTTATTTTCAGTTTACCCGTAGTTCAACTTAAGGGTAAATTGATAATTGGGTTAAGTATCTTGTTTTTCTTCAACACATAACATCTAAAACATATGTTTATTTCATTACACACTTTCTTAACTTTACATTTACTTTTTTTTCATAATTCTTTATAATATATATACTTTTTACATTTAATTTAGTTTGTGTGGACCCCTGGGGGGCTGGAGTCCACCCTACCTTCTCCTGATATTACTCGTCTTCCTTCTACAACTGTTGAACCCATTTAGGACGACCTAGATTTTGTCAGTTTTCCTCTACCTGATTATGGCTTGCCTTCCCAGGCCTTTACTGCAGAATCTACTAGGCCTACCTCAGCCTATTTTTGACATGTTTCACAGTATAATTTTCCCCTCCTTCCCTAGACATTGTTTCATAATGAGCATTTTTGTCTCTTCTGGGAGAGGGTGCTTGCATGCTTAGCCCTACACAGGCTTTGGTTAATTTTGCCCTAGCTTACCATCAGGCAGATTTTCTTCTTGATTCTATGTACTTAGAATCTGTTGCCTGTATGGAGGGGGGGGGGGGGTAGTCTCTGTTCATCCTATCCCCCACCTAGTTTTCCAGTTTTGTCTTACCGTATCGACTCTCCTACTGGACATGTCTACCTTACACCTCCTTTCTTAGGCATTCCGCCTGTATCTAGGAGATTTTCATGGGATACGTCCTCCTTCCCTACATGTTGGGGTGTTTGCCATCTTCAGTTCTTTCCCTCCACATGTGGCTACTTTCCTTTTGTGTTTTTCTGGGGTGGGGCACTGTTGTATACCATTTGTTTACCATTCACTTCTAATAGGGACATACGATAGGCTCCAAGAGCCCATTTTTTGTGGCTACTCCTGTGCTTTTAGAATCACGTGGGGTATATGCGATGATATATTTTATATTTTGGTTGCTCTTTTGTTTCATTCTGAGCCATTGCCACCTTAATTCATGTTCAGTGTTTGGCACCTTCCCATCCTTTACCTGCAGGTTTCTCTATTCTTCATGTATGCTCGATGCTGATTGGAGTTCTGGATCGATTGGTCCAACCTCAATCATTTCTTGGCTCTTCCCTACTTTACTATATAGTATTTCATCACAGTTGTGTGGGCAATTTCTGCAGGACTGAGAATGCCCTTGGTACATGTTTTTATTTGCATTTCTCGGGATGTCATCACGTAATTTGTTACCATTTTTGTGTGGCCCTTCAGACTTGTTTTGGTTCTCCCACTTTTGTCAAGTGGTCTGCGATTTACCCGTCTTGGGGGATTCTACTAACATCACTACTTTGACATCTGGCTTCTGTTAGTTCCTGCCGAATGGGATGGTCATAACATACTCTACCTGCTTCTTACCCAAGCAGCTTGGGTGGTTGGATTTTCCAGTTGGATAAGTTTTCCTGTTCTCTGCTTAATACTTCTGTCTATTTAGGGAGTGTCTTTTTACACACCCACCTACATTGGGACCTTCCATTCTCCTTCTCGAATGCATTAAATGGAGTTTTCTATTATCCATACCATTACAGTTAACTCTTATACTACATGAAAGGTTCTAATGCATTGGGGGATGTGGCTTCTATGGAAGCACTTCTCCCTTTGGGTATGGCACATTTGTGATCTCTTCAGGAGATGCTGCATGACCCATAGTCTCTTGCTAGGGTTCTTGACTTTCCTTTCCTTCTTGGACTATATGCATTAATGGTTTAACATATCCCTAATATCGTTGGGTTTTCCACTTCCTCCCCATCTTCTGGATTAGTTTCTCTTCCCTAATGGTTATTACAAAATTTGGGAGCATGGGTTGATCAGCAGGAGGCTTCAGGACAATGATCTATGGATGAAAGGTCTTACTCTGTTAACGCCCTGGCACTTGTGGCAGTCTCATGTGCTTTACTTCATTTTCTTCCTCTTGCCTGGATTTGACTAATCATGTTTCATTTAGACTATTCGATGGTGATGACTTATTTCACTTGACAAAGGGGCACACTTTCTTATTCACTTTGTGGTAGACAGTGGATCTCACTTTTTGAACCTACACACTTGATGTATGTCTCCTGGCATGTCATGTTCCAAGTACTTTTGTCATCATTGCAGATTGTCTTTTTAGTCCCAACACAGTCCCTAAAGAGTGGCCTCTCGATCCTCAAATTTTCAGTGGCTCTGCCTCCTGTAGGGTACTCCTCCATGGGAGGCGTTTGATTTCTTTCTTGATTCAAAGTTATCTCTTTTGTTTTTGGACTCTGATTTTTCATCCATTAGTCATTGCTGTTGATACATTCAGACAGGATTAGATCCAGTTTATAACTTTGTTTTCTTAATTTTGTCAGATTTCTTCCTAAGGTGATTTTGTTAATCTATGTTGCTTCAGTCAGGTCTTTCTGATTGATCTTTCCTACCCAGCACATATCTGGTTTTCTCGGCTGTTTTAGCTTGATATGATCTTTTTTTTCATATACATGCTCTGGGTTTCTTCATTGCTTTCAAGGCTTCTTTCCATTGCCTCCATTTCTTGCAGTTTCATTCCTTTGTACCACTCTCCTGTTTGTGATTTTTTATTTCCTTCTCCCTTCCCATTATGTTCAACATGTGATTCGATTGGCTTTTTATTCCTTATCTCCTTCTTCCTGTGATCAATTCCTGGTGTCTTCACTCTGATCAGGCACCTTCCCTTTTACCTGCATCTCAACCCCATCGAGCACTGGGACTACACCTCATATTTTCATCTCTCATTGTATGATTTGGGTAACTGTTTCTTCCTCGTCAGGGTACGGTCTTCCACCTTTCGCCATCCTTCACTCTTCAGTGAGACTGTAACTGAGTAAGTTTTCTTTCTTTTGTTATATATATACACATATATATATATATATATATATATGTGT